AGACTTGGTCAGACCAAAGGTCCATCTAGCCCAGTGTCCTGTCTGCCGACAGTTGGCCAACGGATTGGTCCCACTCAACTATTTGCTCCTCTCTCTCTCTTGGCCTTTGGGGGCCTTTGAGCCCTTGTGTCCTCTGTGCAAACTTTTCAGTGACTGGGAGAACGTGTTTTGCTCCAGAGCAAGCGGGGCCCAGACCGGCAAAGGCCCTTCACCTCGCAATGAGCTGCAGTCTCCCCTAACGAGCATCTCTGTTATCACCGGGGTCAGGTCCCTGGGGTTTCTGCTGCAAGACACATGGAGGGGAGAAAGTATGAGTCACGCTATTATCAGGAGCATTAGCGCTTCAGGTAAACATGATTTCCCTGGTGCAAGGTTAATGGTGGAGACGGTGACGTCTCAGCAATGAACCTGCTGCCCCCCGGCTAATCTAAATTGCTTTATCCTGGGAGGGCAGGTAGGGAACCTTTAAAACTGCACCTGATGCTCCCAAGTTCATGAATGTTGGCAGGCGAGGAGGCATTCACCAGCCCCAGAGAGGGGGTGGCTGGAAGATGTTCCTACTGATACTGGCCAGGCCAGCCATGACTGCAGAATTTTGCAAGGCCCCGCGATTCAGGGCTCCATCAGTGCCCCCCAAGGCCTCAGCAGCGTAAGGCAGGGCCGTGGCAAAACCAGCTGCCTGTTCAATGATGGATGGGCCCTGCAGACACTGCCAATGCTCCAGGCTGGCTGGACCGTCCCTTATCGCCATCGTCACACACGCTTATTTCATTGCTGCGCCTGTGGGCCTGGCGGTGTGCTTTAGCTAATTACGCCTGTGCAGGGCTTTTTAATTCTACAGCCTCCAATGCAGTAGCCAAGGGCTTGTGGCACATGCCAGGCTGATTCAGGCTGCCACGTTTAACTAGTTTATTTCTCATTTTTGAGCGGCGGCGCTAATAAAATGCAGCAAAGCCAGGATCAGCCTGTCAGCCAGATCCTTCAGCTCCGACCTCGCGGAGGGGGTTGGCAGTGCCCGGCGGACCATGCCCTGGGCAGACACGATTCTGTGAAGGAACTTGTCTCCTGAGACCCAAGGCACTGGGATGAGAGCGTCCCGGGTGCAGAATGATCCGTCTCCTCTTCCAGAAGGTTGGAGGATTAACGAGAAACCTCATGGGGGTTGCTGAGCCAGCGTGCTGTGGCACAGCCCTGTGGGCGGAGCTCAGACGCGGAAACCAGTCTAGTTTAGACGAGCTCTACCATGGCCTTGCTCTGCATTGTGGGGCCTGCGCTGTCAGTTTACCCATCTGCAAAATGGGTCCAATAACACCCCTTCCTCCCCTCGGCTCCTTTTTAGGCACTGGGGAGGACGATCTGGTGTCTGCGGGAGCTATAGCAATTCCAGAAGGAGCGAGCTGAGCTAGCCTCAGGGTTTTAAAGTAACCGGTGGAGGCTCTTGCGCTGCCATCTGGCCTGGTTTTCTGAGGCTGGGCAGTGTACCCGGCCCTCCCTTTCTGCAAGCGTCTCAAGGATTAAACATTCCAGCCTCTGGTCTCTCGCTCCCTGCGGAGGGTGTTTAATATTCTTGCCGTGGGTCAGAGTATGGCTGGCGCCGCCCAGGGGAGCTGTGTGTGTGTGTGTGTGTGAGTGAAATAAGTACAGGGCATAGGCAGTGCCATGCCCTCTCCCTGCACCCTCTCCTACCCTGACTGCAAGCAAGGGAGTGAATTGTGATTACCGTGCCTGCGTGGTGACACCTGCCTGCTCCCACGTAGTGGCCGTGTCCCTGCTGCCCCAGGGCGGGTTTCAGCGGGACGCGGAAGGTGCTACCCCAGTGCCGGCCTACGAGCCAGCTGGGCCCCGAGACAGCCAGCTCGGAAGGTCCTTGGCTCCCCTCTTGCACGTTTCTTTGGACGGTCGCAAAGCACTTGGCAGGTATCAGAGCATTTAAGCCTGGCCCTTCTGCCTGTAAGGGAGGTGGCTGTTATCCCCATTTTACAGCTAGGGAAACTGAGGCGGGCAGCGATGTGACTGGCAAACTGCTGGCAGCACTGGGTGCAGAGCAGGGATGGGCAGACCTTTTGGTCTCAGGGCTGTATCGCAGTGTTTGGAAATTGTATGGAGGGCCATGAACCCCACGAAACTGGGGGTTGGGGTATGGGAGGGGTGCAGGGTCTGGCTGGGGATGTGGGCTCTAGAGAGGGGCCAGAGATGGGTGGGTTGGGATGTAGGAGGCTGCTCTGGGCTGAGGCTGAGGGGTTCAGAGGACAGGTGGGGGTGCAGGGCTGGGGTTGATGGGTTTGGGGTACAGGGGGAAGGCTGAGGTTGAAGGATTAGCTAGAGAGGGGCCAGAGATGGGTGGGTTGGGATGTAGGAGGCTGCTCTGGGCTGAGGCTGAGGGGTTCAGAGGACAGGTGGGGGTGCAGGGCTGGGGTTGATGGGTTTGGGGTACAGGGGGAAGGCTGAGGTTGAAGGATTAGGGTGCAGTGGGAGGGGGAGAGCTGGGGTTGAAGGGTTTGGGGTGCAGGGGGAGGGCTGAGGTTGAAGGATTGGGGTGCAGAGGGAGGGGGAGGGGAGGGCTCCAGCTGGGTTTGGGGTGCAGGAGGATGCTCCAGGCTCGAATGGAGGGGCTCAGAGGCGGGGGCTCAGGGCTAGGAAGGGGGAAGGGAGGGTGCCCCCAGCTTTGGGCTGCCATTCAGTGAGGGGTAAGGCTAGGTCTGATGCACAGGGTTGCCTGGGGGGTGGAGCCAACACCTGTCCTGTGAGGCGCCTGACCTGTATGATCCCTTCTGCAGCCCCTGGCCGTGTTCCCTGGCTCGTGCTGCGGTGTATGAAGGGCTG